CATTCTAAGTTTGAAGGAGTAGGTAGAATTCTATATTTCTCTGTCATGTCTAGATAATATGTTTCCAGCTCACTTCAATATTAGGTATTTACTATACTTAATTAAATGTATGTTTCTGTCTCAGATTTTCCAGTACTCATTCTCTGCATTGCTAAGTAAAATGAGGAGACGCTAATGTAAATCAAAACCAATTTTTAGTACTTTAAACATCTAAAGTACATTTGGTAAAAGGTTAAGATTTATATTTTTGTATTATTTTTCTAAGTTGAATAGGTTTAAGTAGTTTAAGATATTTTTACTAATTTTTAGCTACTCAGGAATTTTTGATAGCCATTATTTAACTTTTTTCTTTTTCCTACGAAGAATAAAATACAGTATTAGATCCCTTTCTCCTGTTACTTCAAATCTTCTGAAAAAAACGGAATCCAAAGAAATGCTACAAGTGCAACATATTTCTCAGAAAGACTTAAGGGAAAATAATGTACAGGTGATCACGGAGCAAAGGTTCCAAAATAAAGAAACTCAGAAACCTGAAGATAAGTTAGTGCTTATTTCAGAACCCATCTCCTGTCATTTAACAGCTAATAAATGTTCCATGTTAAGTCCAGCTGACGATGACAAAAACCAAATTTTTACACATCTGCCTCCACAGAAGGATAAACAGGAATGGGTTCTTGATATTCCGGAGCATAAATTAATTATAGATGAAAATGACTTAGAAGAACTAAGGGTAGATCGCCATCTGTGTGGACTACAGACATCTGTAAACATTTGTAATTTCAATACAGATAATAGTGTATCTCAACTGAAACAAAAGTCAGATAATGTATTTTTCCCTGCAAAGGATCTGAAGGAAAAGGACCTTCATTCAGTATGTGGACATGATTCTAAACTGTTAGCAATAAACAGTTCACAGGAAAATCTACTAATTCAGGCAGAGACTCCATCCCAAAGTCCCCCTGAGGAATCCAATAAATGTGACATCAAGAATATGGATAGTTTACCTTTTGGTAATATCCATCGGAAAGTGAAAATACTACTAGGAAGAAATAAAAAAGAAAATCTGGAACCAAATGTGGAATTAAATAAGAAAAGAACTGAATTTCTTATTACGCAAGAAGAAAACAGAGTTCACAGTTCATCAGTACAATCTCTACTGGACTTATTTCAGACTAGTGAAGAGAAATCAGAATTTTTGGGTTTTACAAGTTATACTGAAAACAGTGATATATGTGATGCTTTAGATATTTGGGAAGAGGAAAATTCAAATAATTTGTTGTCAGTATTTTTTTCTTCACCTTCAACATCTACATTTACTGGCTTTTAGACTTAACCTTTAAGAGGTGCTGAAGATCATATTCTTGAAATTTTTACAAAAGTATAAAAATTCATTTTTTGGGTCAACGTTGTTTACAGAGTCAAATGTGAATATTAGCAATAAAGGTGGTTTTTGCATTTTTTTTCTACAGAATTAAATACTCATTATAGAAAAATTATAGAATAAACTTGTGACTCATGTTATTTTACATACTATGTTCATAATTGTTTTCAGTAATGTTTGCATGTCACTGAAAATTTCAAATGAAATTTTGAGAATATAAATATTTAACATTATAAATTTGGATATATTATATTTATTGTCTGTTGAAATTAGAATCTCACTATGACATGGCCATATTGCTATTGAAAACTTAAATTTCACACAGACAGGAGAAAATACTAATTTCTGTGTTTGTATTCTAGAAGTAATTATTAGAAACATGATACTTGAGGATGACCTAGTTGGACCATACTAGTGTGTTGGCACTAAAGAATCAGGTTATTTCTAGGTATAAATATAAGTTATGAAGAAAAATTTAACCAGGCTACCCTATGAAATAAAATAATTTTACATTGTTCTTAATTATTTACCTTTGGAAATTTTTATCAAAAATGACTCTTTACTCCTTAATGGTACCAGTAATTAATGCTACTCATTTCTCATTGTCCATGAATCCACATATATTCTAAACTAAGGTCAATTCCTTTTTATTTTTCTTGATTGAGGTAACATTGGTTTACAACACCATAAATGATTGAAGTGAATAGCTTCATACCTCAGATGTATGTGATGACACCATGGCACCATCAAAGCACTCACTGGGTCCCCTCCCCACTTTGTGTATACTCACATCCTCCCTTTTCCTCTAGCAGCCTTAATTCTGCAGTCATATTTCTAGGGTTTGTTTTGGTTTAGTTTTGTTAGTTCCTTTGTTTTTTTTTTCCCTTCTATATTCCACATATGCATGTAAGCCATGTAATATTTGTCTTTCTCCTAACTTCTTTCACTTAGCATAATTCCCTCTAATTCTAACCATCTTCTTGTAAATGGCATGAGTATCTTTTTTGATCACTGAGTAGTATTTGTGTGTGTGTGTGTACACACATACACACACACCACATCTTAATTCACTGCTTTGTCTGGATATTTAGGTTGTTTCCATAACTTGGCTATTATAAATAGTGCTGCAGTGAATATAGGGGTGCATGTATCCCTTCAAATTAGTGATTTCATGTTCTGGTAAATACCTAGCAGTGGAATTGCTGGGCCTTATGGCATATCTATTTTTAATATTTTGAGGAAACTCTATACTGTTTGCCATAGGCTAGACCATTCTACATTCCTACCAAGAGTGTACAAGGATTCCTTTTTCTCTACATTTTCACCAACACTTATTTCTGGTTTTTTGATATGAGCCATTCTCACTGGAGTAAGGTGGTATCTCATGTGCTTTTGCTTTGCATTTTTCTGATGATAAGTGATGTTGAAAATGTTTTCATGAAGGCCACTTATTTTTCTACACAATGGGATGATTTGGTATACCACTTGAAGCTCTGCTCATTGGGAAGATTTCCTCTGTGGCTTTCAGTGTCATTCCTGAGTGGAGCTGTATGGCAGTTGTCAACTATTTTCAGCTTGCTCCCCTGGAAGTAAATAATCCATATACTACATTTGTATTTTTCTTTGCTTTTCATCTGGCTTTACAGAATGTCCAGTATATCTATAGGTGTGATCTGAGAGACAAGATCTAAAAAGCAGTGATAGATGACATGGGTATCTGGGTTGCCTGTTCATGCAACCCTCTTGAGTCCTCTGATCCTGTACTTGTTTAATCCTTGATATACTAATTCCATCTTTCAATAGATTATTGCTACACCTGCCTGATGTTATGACTTAATAGGTCTGACAGAATCCCAGCTTACGATCAGCACTTTTGACCACATGATGGTTTTTGCCACACAGGTGCTTCATTTCTCACCTTACACAACACACTTTTCACTTTTACAGAAAGTGCGTAATTCCCCATTCAGATGGCATGGCCTTAATCTAAATCCTCTAGGGACTAGCTTGTGATTTCGTGATAGAAGCTTGTAGTAAACTTCACTCTTATTGCACTGTTGCCTCTAGAAACTTTGAACATGCCTGGGCCATATGGTTGCACAGTCCTTTTCTGCTTATAGCTGACAGACTTTCATGACAGTCAAATTAGTATTCCCAAATCAATATACACCATATACAGGATCTGAAGAGGCCTACCAGAAATTACGCTTCCTTTTCAAGTTTGGGAAATTCAGGATGCAATAATTTGTCCTTTTCTTTGAATAAGATGTCCTGGCATGTCTCTGATCATTGGAACTCTGAAAATATTATTTGATGTGGCATCAGTTATCCAATACATTTTGCTCCTAAAGACACTGATCTATGAAGCAACTCTATTACTCTGAAGATCAGGCCTCCTCTAGCTGCCTCTTGATTCAGCTTTACCAATTAAAACTATATGCACCTGGCTTCTGTATATATGATGGGTTTATATATAACATGATTAATATATACTGTATTACATATATAAATAGAAACTAGGCAAGATGAAATGGGCAAGATGTGGCCAAAGCACACTACTACAAAGTGACCAAAGGAGACTAATGTGATACACTGTATTAACAATCTTGAAATTTAAATTCATTTAAAATTTATATAGTTACATGTCGCTAGTGGAGACAGCATTTGAAAGGTACAGCTCTAATTTCTCTCTAAATGGTAATAATATCATTGTTGACATAGGGTTCAAATGACACTATGTGACCTCTGTAAAACTAATACACAAAAGTTAAACTATTTTCATAATTATTATTCAAGAGGTATGTAATGTTTGGAATTAAAGAAAAATGTAGCTGCCTCAGAAAGAAGAATCCCCCCAAGCCTGGTTTTCAAAAACAGGTTTGCAGCAGGCAACAGAGAAAGAAAAACATCCCACAGAGTTTGACTAAATCAAACATATTCTTCAAGAGCCTGAATAGACCTTTTTCAGGAGGCTCTCTCGTCACACCTCTCTTCCTTCCCCCGGCCCTCTAGGAGTTACCAGGACCTTTCTCACACTGCATTGTGAAAAAAAAAAAAAAAAGGTGCTTATTCCACTACGACTAGGAGCAGGCGCCTCATACCCGTGATGTGTTCCTTGGGTTTAGTCAACCGCCCGGCAGAGTGGTAGGATATCAATCAATATTTGTTAATTTATTAAATGATCAACTTACCCTTACTCTTGAAGGTACCATTCCCTGAAGGTAATTTTAGTAACTAATCTTGTGGAACAGTGCAGTTTCTTGCGGAAGAATTGGGTGAATAAACAGAGCAACTGGATATCCTTGGTGCCAAGAGGTCTGCCAGGGATGACCTCTCTTTGGCCCGATTCCTCCCTCCCTCCGCTTTTCAGGCGGTAGAGGACCTTGCTGTCCCAAAGTCGCGACAGTTCTTTTGCGCTGTGGTGGAGCCCAGAGGGACGCGGAGAGAGAACTACATTTCCCAGCTGACACTCCTGCGCGCGCCCCTGCCCGCGCGTGGTGGGCAAGTGCAGCAGGCGCTCGCTCCCCGCGGAGCGCTCGCCGCCCGCCAGAGCCTTTGCCGAGCGATGAGGTGGGAGGCGCTAGAAACCACTTAGCTACAGACAACCGCCCAATGCAGCACTCGCTCGCTCCCCCCGCCAGCGGAAGCGCCCGCGGAGCACAATGCAGCACTGAGGCAGCGCCGCGGTGGAGGCTGCAGCGCCGCGGCCGCCGCAGCACCCGCTGGGGCTAGCAGGGGGCGGCCGAGGAGAGCCGAGGTGCGGTGGCGCGGGGCGAGGAAGCCGGACCCGGCTGCCTGCCGGGGCATGAGAAGCTGAGCGTCTGGAACTAGGCGGGCTGACGGCAGCACCATGCAGGCGGCGGCGGCGTCTGTGCCTTTCTTGCTGCTCTGCGCCCTGGGGACCTGCCCCCTGGCGCTCTGCGGACGGCCAGGTAAGTTCTCCACCCTCTGTGGCTTCGGGACGTACCATTTTCCGGGAATCTTTGGAACCCTAGGCTCCTTGAAAAGGGGCATCCTCATTTTCCGAGTGCGCGGGGAGATTTTTTATTTGGTAGGGTGATGAGAAGTGGAGCAAAAATACATGTGTGGGGGCGCGCGGATGCTTTAGAAGCCTTTGGTCAAATGCCTGTTTTTCTTTGCAAGAAGAGGAATGCGGAGGTTGGGAAAAGGGTGCTCTTTTACTGGGCCCGGATCCTGGATGCTATCAAATGAGCTGGTCCAAGGCTCTCAGGCCGGTGCCTCTGTGCCCTTCCCAGGAGGCCCGAGAGGGAGGGCGCGGTGGGATTTTCGTAGGGGAAGCGTCGGACCGCAGGATGGCAAAGTGTGGATCGGGGTCATTATTTTCGCCTTTTCTTCCCAACCCCACCTTACTCCCTTCCTGCCTGGAGGAGAAGCCTCGCTGACTGAGCTGCATAGAAGGAACGAAAACCGTTTCCTAGAGCGCCAGAGCATCGTGCCACTCCGGCTCATCTACCGCTCGGGCGGCGAAGACCAAACCCGGCACGGCGCGCTCAACACGAGGGTGCGGGGTGACCCTGGCGGCAGGCAGGTGAGAGGCGCTGTCCGAGGGTGGTCCTCAGCACGGTCCGGCCCACCCACGACCCTAAGTTTGTTCTCGGTTGCCCTGGAGATGCAGTGTCCTTGGTGTAAAAGCGCAATCCGAATGCGAGTGGGGCATGGCGCTACCTATGCACAAAAAGAAGGGCAAGGTGGACAACCCCCCCCCCCAAGAACCACAGTCCAGGGGCTTTGCTAGTGAGGAATTTGTGCGGGATGCCTCCCGCAGTGCAGCAGCCTGAGCATAGGGGCGGACACCTCTCACCTCGCTCAAGGAAAAGCCTTGCATAGGCAAGAGGAGGAATATACTTTGGCAGGATTTCCATCGTTATTGTTGATGTTTTAATCCTCAAACAGACGACTTTAGAAGTGATTTAAACCAGTTTGGTACTGCAGGAAAAAAACAAGTCTGGATATCTCTCATTAAACTCAAACCATAAATATAAGCTAAACGGCAAAAGTTTTCAGCTCATTCAATTTGTGGACTCTAGAGTTGTAAAGGTGTCTTCCTCTCCCTTTCTTCATTGGTAGTAGTTACTTTGGTGTAATCAGGGGTATTTTGTTTATTAGGCACTTATAAGTTATGTTTTTAAAAATCTAAACATACCATTTACCCATTTTAAAATTTATATCATACATCCACAGTTCACCTAGCCGTAAGTACATAATAAGGTGTAACTTATTAATGTAGTGGAGAATTTTTGTAAACTTCACTGTAGTAAATGCAGGTTGAACATTTTTCACAATGTATAAGTATATCCATTAATACTTTGAGATGTATCTTGATGATGTGATAGTTATACTAGTTCTCTCTATGTGCAAAATATGTAAAATAGAAATATATGATTTAAATATGTATAGCCAAGTTCTTAGTTTTCTTAAAATTTAATATAAAGGACTGCAGTAATACTCATTAAAGTTAGATTACTGCAGTAGAAAATCTAATATGCTGGTCCTTTAATGAAGGATTTTATTATTTGTGTTAAGTTTTAGTAATTACTGATTTCCCCTTTTCATTTCAACTTGTTCCCATAGTAAACTGAAAGAAAAGGGGATACAGTATCTAATTTTTCAATAACTTAAAATTATTTCTGTAGAGGAATAGTCTTACATCCACATACAATTTATTGTATGTTGACTATAAAAATTTTCAAACCAGGCAAAAGCAGAATCTTACAATGAATCAGTTTCATCTGCTATATTTATTAGCAATTCATGGTCAAGCTTGTTTTGGGTATAATTTACCTTTTCTTTCTCTTACTGTATTTTTTTAAGCAAACATATCATTTAATTCACTTAAAAAACCATGTACCTCTAAAAGATAACGATTCCGTAAAGAAAAAGTAACCATGACATCATCATATCTAATATATAAACATGTGCAGTACATTTTTTTTTTGTTTGTTTAATGCAGGACCCAAATAAGGTCTATAGACTGCAATTAGTTTTTTTTTTTTTTAATCTCTATAATGCATGGTTTCCTCTATCTATTTCTTTGGTTTTTTTTCCCTTACAATTTACTCGTTGAAGACATAGAATCTTTCATCCTGTAGAGTTTCCCATGTTCTAAATTTTACTAATATTGCTAGTGCTTTGACACAAATCACACAAAGATTTTTCTGGGAGAAGAAAGTAAAGATAAAGAAAATTGTAGGATTGGGACTGAAAATGCCAGGCCTATCTTATGCTGGTAGGGTACCCTCTGCCCTTTTCTGTGCTGGTGAAAGACAGCACTTTGGGAAAACAGGCCAGTCATTTTCTCCCTATTTATGGAGTATCACTTCTGCATTTCACAGGCCTCTCCACTTGAGGCAGAAGATACCTTGGGTCCTTGCAGCTTTTACTACTCTTAACAATAAACCTCAAATGAAAATGACTGGCTTTTGGTTAGAGGTTAATGATTTATAGGATTTGAGTCAAACATACGAACAGATTATTAATTCAAGTCAAAATTGTCTTGTCATCAAAGTAATTTCACATGAAAAAAGATCCAGTGCCTAGCACTTAGTAAGGCACACACAGTAACTGGTTGGATGTCTGCATAACTTGGGAAGACTTTACAGTTCATCATCATCCTTAAACTTCAATTAGAAATTATTGATGACTAGGACTGAATCCAACAGTCACAATTGTAAAGATTTAGTTGTCATGTGCTAACCTTTCTCTATAATTAGGAACTTAAGAGTTTTCCTTTAGTTAAGGAACCAGAATTGGCAACTCTGGTTTCCTCAGAGCTATCATTGGATTTCAAAACGTAAGTCAATTGCATATGGCCCTTGTTTTTTCTTTGGTAGTTAAATAGAGGTAATTCATGGCATATTAGTTTATTTTTTTAGTAATTCCCTATATACTTTACAAATAAAAGTAGGAAGATTTTCTATGAACTCAAAAAGCATGTACATATTTTTTTTTATTTATTTAAGACATTAATCTACTTGAGCTCCTACTGTGTACCAATTTTTGTGCAAGGCTTGGGGATTTAGAGATAAAAGACATAGTTCCAGTCTTCAAGCTCCGCAGACAAGTGGAAAGATGGATGAGGAGGTGAGCAGTTGCATTTTTCCCTTCTCTGGATTTTTTAGAGGGCATCAGAGACAGCTGTAGTAGAGTCGACACAGTACTACTTAACCATGGTGGGGGAAATGAGGGCACGCAGTCAGGGTGGACTCTCAGGGGGACATGCTGAGGGTGAGTAGGAATTGGGCAGATTAAAGGAGTAGGTAGGCATATCAAACTGAAGGGTCATGAGCCTATAGGCATATGAGAGAACACATTTTTGATAACTACACATAGTTGGAATTTAAAGGATTGATGACATAAAATAGGAAAACAGAGTAAATGCTGTAGTATCTTCACAACTTGCTGAGCAATTTGGACTTTGTCCTGAAGGCAATGGATGGATTTCAATAAGGAAAGTTAAATGATCTGATACATGTTATTGTGGGATAATACTAATTGTTATAAATGAATAATTTTAATTTGAAGAGTAAGTGAATGTGGTTGTTCACTTTATTGGTAAAATTCGCATACATGTTAAGTTTCCTCAGAATTTGGCTACTAAGGGTACAGAAAACATTGTATGACAATACAAAGCACTTAGAACAATGCTGGATAGATATATCATAAGTAATATGAGTTTTTGTTAAGAAAATTAACTCCCTCAAGCTCCTTGAATACTTACTAGAAATTTTACAACATCACTTCAATGTAAAATGGTACCCTAATTACCTGGATATAACACATTCCCAGAAATAAGTTACATATTACTCAGATTTACATAGCTAAGTGGACTTAAACTGTCCCAAAGATGGAAAAGACATTATAGGTCATCTTACCCAATTCAGGAATTACTTCTTACCTGGTGAGAATAAGTTGTTGAAACCAGCAATCTGTTATTAAATGTTGGTAAGAACTTTGATGGTATAAAACATAATTTTACCCTTGATAAGTTCTTGTTTCATTTTTGATCCCTACATGGAACAAAAGACACTTTTTGGTAGAAATTGTTATTTTCTGGAAATATTGGCAATTTGATTAGTGTGAAATAATAATTTTGTTAATATGAATCCATATTATAAAATATTTCTGCATGACCAGTTACTTGAATGCATAACTCATACTGCATGAATGGTTAATTCATACTGAAAGCTCATTATGCCATAGATTCCTAAAAATCATGATTATGGGTAACCTTGTTCTCCTCATGGCTATCTACCTAGTTGAAAATAATTCCATTATTTTGAATAGTACTCACACTAGACTATTCATAATATTCAGAGTCTTTCTTCTGATCTAAAATTATTTGTGCTGAAGAAATTACATGTTTTCAGGTAGAAGCATAAAGCATATATTTCAACTGGACATCCATATGGGCAAGCTGTCATCCATGATTTGTTCAGATAATCATGTAATTGCTAATTTGTAGAATAAGCTCCTTAGTAATTACTCCTTTTTCACAACTATCACACATTTCCTATAGCATCAAAGATAGGTTATTTAATGTTTTATTTTATTAAATAGTCACCCTATGAATTTTCAATATTTTTTTTCCATCTATGATTACATTTATCTACAAAGAATAGAATTTTTTTTTTAAGGATACATTTATTTTTATACAAGAACTGGGGTACATGTCAGAGGCACGGAAGGGTGAGAGGATTCACCAGAGACAGAATGGGAGCAGAGCAGGCAGACAGACTGAAAGCACTGCCGAGAGGAGCAGCGGGCAAGACAGGAGAGGTCTGCCGTGCCATGTGGGTATCTCCCTGGCCAGCCGGGAATCTGGCATGCTCTGTAGAGCCTGCAGACAGCTTCACAGTGCTATGCTATAGTCTTGTCAGTAAGACAGGTTACTATTTTTCTCTTTCTCTGAAAGTGTGGTAATTTCTTCTGAAGTAGTCAGTTATGTGTCAATAACATAGATCTACAGTGTATCATAGTTTTGATAATCAGTAATGAATAGAGAAAATGCAAGATGGTAGCAAAATATCAAGCAAAAAAATATTCATTTTTATGAATATATGTGTACATATGTCTAAGCATGGATGAGCTGTACTTAAAAATGTGCTGTTTCACTTGGGAGCACTGAGTCAGCTTGGCAGTAAATTGTCTGCATTACTGCTTCCCTGGCGGAGATGGGCTCCTTGAAATTACAGCTTTAGAAGTATTTTGCAAGGATAGCACAAACATCTTTTTTTTTTTAATGTGTATTTGTTAAAGTAAGTAGCTCAATATTGATAAAGTTTTGCCACTAATAAAAACTTTGTTCTGCTGCTTGTTAATAAGAAGATATTACCCACAGTATTTTTCTTCTCCTTCCATAGAATTAAGTAGTTAAGTGAAAATGAAATTCAGAATTGTAGGAGATTCCCTTAAGATTCTTGTTTTTACTCTACAAGATGCCAGTTTGCCTGGTGATTTTACTGTGCACAAGAAAACTAGTGTTGTCATTGCTTATTTACAGCTACTCATGCAAAATTATGAATGATTTTC